ACACACAAACACACAAAGAGGTGTAAATCCGACCGTGCAACCTCCACCTTGGGTAATGCTAATGCCGGCGGTACCGTAACTTTCAACCCTCATAACTCGAAAAGTACTGATTAAAAAAACGTTTCATTATAGCGTTTTGGAAAGCTCTCGAGGTAAGCTACAAGAATATGCATTGAAAAATGGGGGTTTCCATTTAAGAAATTAAAGGTGACCTTCACGTGATCTTCAAACGACTATCCAAGGTCAAACCAAAGACACCATCTTATGTGTCCCTCGAAGTCACAAAACTTTTGTCTGAAACATTTTTCTTTAAAATGTCGAGTTTACGAAAAAATCGGGTGAGACGGGTGGTCTGGGACACCCTGTATATATATATATATATATTTATTTATTTATTTATTTATTATCTGAACTAATGAACGTACGGGAAGGGTAGACCAGACATTGTATAAAAATAAAAATAATTTCTGAAGATCTCCTATACTGATAAAAGAGATTGGTAATACTTACTTAATGCATTTAGTTAGAGATTTCGGCAGAATATTTGGTAACTGTTATGAAATTTGATATTATTTACGAAGTATTTAGTTGGCCTACATGATGCAGGCAGTTGGCAGTATGGATGACTTTTATTCAAAGTTGAATCAACTAAATAAAATGTAATGCTACCAAATATTTAATATCTGTTGTTAAATGTTTGATATTTATTATTAGATATATTTGGTAAATATTACAAAATTATTCACTTTTAATCTTATAAAATATTTGGTAACTGTTAGTAAATATTTATGATTCCCCTCTTTTTTTTCTCTCTCACTCTCTCTCCCTCTCTCTTTTTTCTTTCTCCTTCTCTCTCTTTTTTTTTTACTCATTTACTATTTACTATTTACTCTTTTTCCCTTCCTCCATAAAGGACACATTATAAACGTGAGATGTAAAGACATGACGAGAGCTTGTAGAACTCGTCGGTTTCTGTCGTCTGATCACTGAAGTAAAACAGTACGGATCGCGATCAGTAGTAGTTGGTTTTGGGTGACTACTACGAGGTCGAAACTAAGAAAAAATTTCTTCATATATGAAGTGAAAAAAATCACATCACAATGAAGTAGGGAATATCAAGTTATCTTAAGATAATTTACGTAGAATGATAAAACTTTTTTAGTAAAATGATGATAATTACCTAAAACAATTTTCCTTACGGACTATATGTTTAGTAATAGTTATCAAATATCAATTCATTTTTTGCTATCAAGATTTGATATTAATTACCAAAGTTTAATTTAACGATCTAAATGTATAGTTCAAACAACTAAATCTTGATTCTTCAAACTATATACAGGGTGTCCCAAACTAATCTCGGTTCCCGTAGTGTGCATGTAAAACAGGTGAAATTGATTAGAAAAGTCCTATATTATTTTGCAAATAACAATTTCGAGTTATTAATGATTGAAAATTGCCATATATAGAGGCTTCTTTAATAACTCAAAAATTTGTGTGTCATTTGCAAAATGGTAAGGAATTTTTTTTTATTCAGAGTAACCTAATCTACAAATATATGACAATTGGTGTGTCTAATGACAGACATCAGTATATTGGACTTTGATCCTTGAACCTTGAATTTGTCGTTGGGTACAATAGTTGTTATATACTTGTAGATTAGACTATTCGGAAGAAAAAAGTCTGTCACCATTTTGCAAATAACACGAAAATTGTTATTAATTAATATTATTTAATATTATATAAATATTAATTAAAGAGTTATTAATTAAAGATAGCTCTATATATGGCCATTTTCAATCATTGATAACTCGAAATTTTGCATGTTATTTGCAAAATGATACAAGACTTTTTCGCTCAGTTTCACCATCTACTTGCACACCATGGAAACCAAGATTAGTTTGGGACACCCTATATATTCACTTCATCCAATCAAATTATTTCGTAACTGTTGTCGGACGTTCGGCCTGCAATGTTTCACCGAATTATTTAGTAACGATTACCAAATTTTGTTATATATTACCGAATCCTTCTTTCGGTATGGGAGAACGGTAGCCATCGGTGACGGCGTTTCTAGATTCCTCTATCGTGTTATTTATATTTCAGGACATACCTAATCTCATGCGGTTCCTCGGGGTCGTTGATGACGATGATTGATTAGAATTCGAGTTGCTCGTACGTCCGAGTCTCGCACGGATTGGTCGTCGCTCGTGCGATCGTTGCACGTCGGCTGTTCGGGGATCGGGATTTTCCCGACGAGGCATCGACTGACGCGTATTTCACGTTCGCTCGCCGATCTCAGCCTCACAGTCGGCATTCCGCGCTCGAAGAAGACAACACCCGTGAGAACGAGAAAAAATGAGCAAGCGTGAGTAATTTGCCGGCTGCTGTGACGGTGATAGCGAACGCAACGAACCAATTGGTCTTTATCGCGTGTCTCGTGCTTTTTCGACAATAATCGACTTTCGGCCGCGAGTAAAATCGATCCGTAGGATTTATCCGATCCGCGAAACGGGGATTGAAATTGAATAACCTCTATCGGGAATTTAAATACCAATATTTTGATAATATTGATACGCGCGAGATTGTGACTTTCACGCTTACCTGTGATGATTAATTCGGGTATCTCTTGCAACACGAAGAGTTCAATCGAACGCGATTTTATTGGAACTGAACGTACATGTTGCGGATGAACGTTCGTGACGTGTATGTTTCTCATGTTCTTCAATTGAAAGAGCGAGAAAATTTTGGACAAGCACAAATATGTAAATGCGAGGTGTATTTTACAAAATACAAAATATAAATCTTTGTTGTTGATTACATATAAAAACTCAATCATTTCTTTGACTTTTAGTAGTAGACGAAAATTTGCTTCAATTGAGAATAGGCGACGATACGTTCAGTTTTTTCATATTCAGAATGATTTCGCGCATAAATATTCCCAAATTTATAGATATATTGCCCAAATATTTTCACATTAATTTGTTAAAATTCATGAATTGACGTCTGTGATTTGTCGAGATTTTAAAAAGCTGCTTTTGGAAAAAGTTAAAAACGCGAGTTTCAAACGGAGATTTTTAATTAGCTTTTGCAATAACATAGAATCAGATGAAGCCGATCGATGGCACAATCGACTCTACGACCGCGATAACCTCTTTGCGCCTGAAAATGCTTATTAGCGGACTTGCGTTTATCGGCTCGTCGACGCGCAGCTCTCAGTCGCCCTGTGATTCGCTAAATTCTTTCCGGCTCGCGGCGTGTTATCGATCGCGCAGAGTTATAGCTGAATATCCCACGGTAATTCGCGTTCAGCGCGAGTCATAATTCTCTCTCTCTCTCGCGATAGTGACTCCCAAGGTGATCCGCTTCATGCGAGCCCACCATCGCCACATCGTCGGTCGATGATTTATATATGCGCCTGCAGAACATGAATTTTTCTCTTTATTATGATTTAATATTAGCTTCACTGAGAGTGTTAGTGCTAATTACTACGGACGAAACGCGCTCGTAATAATATAGGATTTAGGATCCTATTCTGGATGCTTCGAACTAAGTATCTTTTTGATTCTCAAGCTAAAACAACGTTACACGTAACGCTCCGTACAATTGTGTATGAATTTTGTCTTTATATAATCATATATAGTTATATATGGTCATATAAAGAAATAATTTACAGATAATTTTATTATATACAGGGTATCCCAAATTAATCTCGATTCCCGTGGTGTGCAAATAGAACGAGTAAAACTGAGTAGAAAAGTCCTATAGTATTTTGCAAATAACACGCATAATTTCGATTTATCAATTATTGAAAATGGCCATGTATAGAGGCTTCTTTAATTAATAACTCAACAATTTGCGTATTATTTGCAAAATAGTGAGAGACTTTTTTTCCGAATAGTTTAATCTACAAGTATATGACAACTATTATACCCAACGACAAATTCAAAGTTCAATATACTGATGTCTGTCATTAGACACAACAATTGTCATATATTTGTAGATTAGGCTATTCTGAACAAAAAAATTCCTTACCATTTTGCAAATAACACACAAATTGTGGAGTTATTAATTAAAGAGGCCTCTATTTTCAATCATTGATAAATCGAAATTTTGCGTGTTATTTGCAAAATAGTATAGGGCTTTTCTGCTCAGTTTCACCCATTCTACTTGCACACGACGGGAACTAAGATGGCAATTGATATCCAATTGTTCAACAGGCTCCTTTTGTGTTTGACAAGAATTTTCTTGTAATAGCTGATCCAATCTCTGGTCTTCAATTTTTTTTGGTGTTCCCGAACAATGTTGATCGGAAAGATCGGAATTACCCGTCCGAAACTTTCGGTACTATCTCTTGCACGTACTCTCAGACACTGTATTTTCCCCGAAAGCAGAGCAAATCATTTCTTTCGCCTCGAGAACACTTTTTTTTGCAGAAAAACGAACAGAATACACTCCTCACGTGGTTGTCGGACGATATCGTGCTCGCTTTTGAGACTTGTGAGGTTAAAGATTGGTATTCGAATCCCCAAAGCAACGGGAGAAAGATTAGAATTTGAAATAAAGTTACAGTTGATTAATTCGGAGAGGTCAGAATTTATTGGAAACCTAATATATTTTTAAATTTTTTAAATAAATGAAAAATTATATTTTCTATTGGAAAGCTTTTCAGTAATACATACAAAAATGTTCCTTTATAAAGAAATAGAGATAAAAGGTAAATATATTTCATCCATAACAAAAAATAAATTGCTTAACGTTAATATAAAAAATTTAAACAGTATTTTTCCTATGTTATTAGAGTAGGCGATTATATATTATATATATATAATAATATATTATATATTATATTAGAGTAGAGTATATATTATATATATATATATATATATTATATATTATATTAGAGTAGGCGATTATATATATATATATAT